GTAAATTAGGTCACCATCGAATGGACTCTTGGTGGAACGGACCACTTCGTGTTTGCATCTGCTGACGTAAAATTTCTGTTCTGTCGAGTTCATGTCTTGTAGGTTGCCTAGTGAGAAGGTCGCTGCGTCGACGTAAGTGCCAGCTATTCTCCTTGAGGGATGCATTGAACCACTGGCGACACTATCTCCTAGGAAGGCACTTTAAAGTCTACTTTGACCACGAGACCCTACGCTGGTTGAAAACCCAAGCCCGGATGAACCCTAAGCTGACTAGATGGGCTGGCGAGATAGATCAGTTTGACTTTGAGCTGAAACCAGTCAAGGGCAAATACAACGTTGTCGAAGGCGCGTTGAGTAGACGCGCAGACTTCTTCGGTGCCATCGTCACTTTCCTAGATGTAGGCACCGAGCTACAACAACAAATCAAGGTTGCGTACACTGACAATCCCGTTTACAGCGAACTAATCAAAAGGGTGCAGGCTGCGCCACACGAAGTCTCAGACTACAGAGTAACCAACGGACTACTGTTCAAAAAAAGAGACAGGTTCGATAGACTCTGCATCCCGAACGACGAGATAGTCAAAAGTCTGATTCTGGGAGAATGCCACGACACTGAGGGCCGTTTCGGTTGGAGGAAAACCTATGCTAATCCCCTCCGGTCCTACACCTGGGTCTGCTTAAGCACAACTTTTTTTTTTTTTTTTTTTTTTTTGGGACCATTTCTCGATTTATGAGTGTCATCCTTGTGCAGTGGCCATGCTAATCTTCTCTGTATCGTTCCAATTTTAACGGATGTAAGCACAACTGCATTAGCTATATCCAGGGCTGTCAAGTATGTGAACAGAACAAAAGTTCCACACAATCTCCACTTGGCCTATTGAGGCCGCTACCTGTCCCATCTGGTCCCGGTGAATCCGTGTCGATCGACTTCATGGACACAAAGGTTAACAGCGGAAACGGGAAGAGTCAAGTGATGGTTGTTGTAGATAGATTTAGTAAATTTGTCGGTTTTATTCTGCTGCCCGTTGAGGTAAAGACAGATTTATTGACTAGAGAATTCTTCAATCACTGGGTTAAGGATTACGAACACCCATTAACGATTGTTAGTGATGGAGATAGCAGATTCACGGGCGAGCACTCACAACAGTTGATGAGAGTACAATAGTGTATGGATCAAAGCTGACCATGTCTTCCGGTAGACACCCAGAGACCAATGGCCAGACCGAGCAGATGAACAAACTGCTCCAGCAAGTGCTGCACATGTACATTAGGCCCAACCAGGTTGATTGGGACGAACACCTTCCCAAAGTGCAGTCTGCGTACAACAACTCGGTGCACTTGTCTACTGCACGTAACCCTAACGAACTGCACAGAGGTTGGCAACCCCGACGTCCGATTGATTGCCTGAACCCGGATCAAATCCACAGGTTGCCACCAGGTACGAGAGAATTTGCCATTCAGTATGAGAAAGACTTAGAGCAGGTCAAGAAGAACATCCTTAAAGCCCGACATCAGATGGTAGAGCAGGCCAACAAACACCGACGTCCGTCGCAGTTTGCGGTAGGAGACTTGGTCTGGATAAAGTCTAAGGAGTTCATTCCGGAAGAAGGGATCTCGCAGAAACTGCTATCTGCGTATAGGGGGCCATGGCAAGTCTTAGATGTCAAAGGAGAGGCAGATGGTCTGTCCTACACTATCAAGATTCCACCACACCTGCATGCATATCCAGAATTCCACGCATCTAAGTTGCTTCCCTGCATTACAAACGATCAGTTTCCCTCTCGACGTTCCATGATTCCACCTGATATGGAAGGAGGTTATGACGTAGACCAAATATTTGTTGAAGATACTTTCAGTACAGGTCGCCGAGGGAGACCACAAAGTCAATACAAAGTTAGATTCGCTTATCAGGAACCCAGCGAAGACCGCTGGTTCCCCAGGGAGGAACTAATACAAACAGCCACTTACATTGTCTCCTATTATGAGAGGGTTAGACGGGGAGTGAATGTGTATGATCGATAAAGTTATGATTTTTCTTGGAGGACCTCGAAATTAGGCCGGCGGAAGTGAAAGGATTCACGCTGCAGACACCCGGTCCCGATCCCAGGGTCCCGACAAGTCCCAAGTCCCAGGGCCGTCCGGTAGGCCAGCCGTAGGGGCTAGAGGCCAAAGTGTCGTAGGTCGGTAGGTGTCAGTACTGAAGCATCGTAGGTCGGTAGGAGTCCGTCCCCTACCCGACAAGAAAAGTCCAGAAGTGTCCAGTCCAGTCCGAGAGTCCCAAGTCCAATTCTGCAGCATGTCCCAGGAAAGTCCGGAAGCTACCGGACCGACAAAATGTTTGCAGCAGACAGGCCGCGGCCAACCGGTACCGGTCTGAAGCAGGCCAAGCCAAGGCAGGCCCAGCGAAGCCAAGTCCTATATTTATCTGCTACAATGCAGCAACTC